TACTGTGTATATTATAGCAGCAACATAGCCACAGTATATGTATATGGAATTTTGTATGCAGCTAAGGGATGAAACAAAGAATGCGCCATAAAATGTCTTCATACACACGGCATCCAAGTGAAATCCTTCCATTCCTCTATTTTTTTAATGACTTCTCTAAAGTCTTGTTGATAGGCGCCCAAACACTATCAGTGTGCCTTTTTCGCAATTACCTGGAGTGCAACAGATGCCCGAAATGGCTCCGATGTCTCAATCTGGAGAAGCGCTCTCGCGCAACTGCTGTGCATGTAGTGCATGGCAATGTCTGCAAGTGTGCTCCACAAAATACTTTACTTGTTGCATTGCATCTTTTAAACAAAAAAAAAAAAACAAATAATTTAGCATGCTGCGCCGCTAATAACGCAAACACTCGTGATACACAATCCGCATTCTAGCACAGGTGCTACAGCAACTGGCGGTGGCGGTGGTGGTGGTGGTGGCGGAGGTGGTGGTGGAGGTGGTGGTGGTGGCGGAGGTGGTGGTGGTGGCGGGGGTGGTGGAGCCGCTACAGGAGGAGCGCAATCACCACCACTGCAGTGAACGCTTACAACGCATCCAGGGCAATCTGGAACAAAATCCATATGTGAAGCTGAATTTAAGACGGCAAATTTGAATGTAAAGTTCTGCAAATGACTGAAATCATCGAGATCTCTTGTGACGTTACCAAAATGTGTCCGCTTGCCAGCCACAGCTATGGTGTTGCAAAAGGCACGGACGGGGGAGGGGGGCAGACACATTGAACATTAAAATTTCGAACGTAAATTGTGCCATTGGATTCATCCAATTTACTACAAATTATAATGATCTATGATATTCTGAGATCCTTCACTGTCTCTGAGCGGTACCAGTAAATTTTTTTCCTCCAGCAGCTACAGCAACCCATCCTTTTCCATTTTTCATGTTTTTTCTGGCTTGGGAAGCAGTTAATATTTGTTCCTAGTAATGCACATGCACATTTGCACAAAATTTATAACTAACCCAGGCTGGAACGCACCAGGCTCTCTGGTGCGATCATACGTTTTTGCACTAAACTCGCAGATCGCTATTAGCAAGAATGATCCTTACGCTGTAGCCTAACAGCTGGGCTCATATTGGCCTTTCCGGCATGCAGGAGGAATGGCGTCAGTTGGGATGAAGGTGGTGCATTATAGAGCCGCACGGACA